TATGCAAGATATTCGTATTGCACAGCGGATTCCATCAAGACAAAATGAAGCAACAGAAGGATCGTCGTTGTCTTGTAGATTGACGCTGAACGCGGCACGAAACGGACTCCATGCAACCTTAAACACACAAAACAAAATGGTCAACAATGGGGACTGAGGCCGGTTGTAAGAAGCAGATTTAGCTTAAGTAGTGGATTATTTCAATAGAAAATCCAGTCAAATCATTCATTGGTCAGCTAAAATATTAGATTATCAAACAGATTTACTCTTCGTCATCGCAAACATTCATTACATAAAATCTAAGTCTTTTCTTTAACAAGATTAAGATGAATGTTATCATGTTTTGAAATCTACGTCCCCCGTACTTGGCACTGAGCCTGACTCTGACATGGACATCTACATACCATCACAAACTGCAAAGAGTAATTATCAATCTAGAACTTTTAAAACATTTTAAAGGGAAAAGGTCCCAAAATTAAACAAGATAAACAATATGCACCATCCTCTGATAGGAAATAACAAAACCAGTAAATATATTCAAATCACTCATATCTAAAACTCTCTCGTTCTTATAACGGAAGGGAGGGAAAACATAATTCTTTTGAAACCTAAAAACATTCCCAACCAGATTAGAGATCTCATTGGTAGATATACTTTTAACCATTTCTCTATAAAAGACTGCATGAAATTAATTATTAGGTGCAAGCCTTGGTTTGCAATCAATTGTTTTAAGCTTTCTTGTAAATGCACAGATTCAGAGAAATATTCTGGCATAGTACAACTAATAGAAGCCGCACTGGATTGAGCATTATTTTTCATGCGATACCTTTACAGCAATGGCTGCTACTTCAACAAAAGTCCTAATCATTGTTTCTTCTTTCGAAAAGCTTTGAAAATAGTACCTTTCTCATTTGCTGAAAGTTTTTGGTCTCCGCATGAGAAATATGTGAGGTGGAATTGCTACAATTTGAATTTTTCCTCCGAACCCTTTGCTGCTGATGTTGCTTCAAGGCAACAATCATCAAATGCGATGGCCTTGATTCGCGAAAAAATTCATGCAGCAAAGGGTTACACACGTACAAAACTATGGCGTACGTGCGACGTACGTGCCCGAAAATCTTCTCGAAGTTCATGCAACGCAAAGCACAACATGCGCGATAAATTACATACGGCAGTTAGCTAGTAACAGCTGCAATCCACTACAGATGTGACTATTATTGAGTTTTCCTTAATTGACCCTTTGCTGCATGGTATTGCTCCAAAACAACAACCAACGAACACAATGGGCCTTGATCGGCGAAAAAATTCATGCAACAAAGGATTACACTAATTAAAAAAAAGTAGAGTTGCAAAATGGTCAGGTTGAAATATTTGACCAGTGTTTTAGGTGTTCCTTCAAAGCTAAGATGTGTACATGATTAGAATTTTTTATTTTGAATAAAGGAGCTCGATGACTGCATTGCGTTTTGAGCTTTTCTTGATCAGGATAATAAGAGTGGATTGATCTTTAAATGACAGAAGACAAGCCTAAAATTCGAAAAAATAATAACTTCTCTACTTGTCATGGCAGTTCAACAATGAGTCTTTTTTAACAAAATCTTTGCCAGTGAAACTTGAATCGAAGCACTCCTGTTGATACAAGATTTTTTACACTGTGATTGAAATATTCCGCATAGTATTTATCAATAGTTGAAAATAAATGGTAATTGCAATAAATGTTGCCATTTTCTAATAGCTCTAAAGCATTCAGCATTGAGACATTTTTATCAATTGTGACATTTAGTGACACAGAGCTATAAAGGAAATATCCAAAAGGATCTGATCAACAAGTACGATAAATCAATGATCAATTGAGACATTTAGTGACACAGAGCTATAAAGGAAATTTCCAAAAGGATCTGATCAACAAGTACGATAAATCAATGATCAATTGAGACATTTAGTGACACAGAGCTATAAAGGAAATTTCCAAAAGGATCTGATCAACAAGTACGATAAATCAATGATCAATTGAGACATTTAGTGACACAGAGCTATAAAGGAAATTTCCAAAAGGATCTGATCAACAAGTACGATAAATCAATGATCAATTGAGACATTTAGTGACACAGAGCTATAAAGGAAATATCCAAAAGGATCTGATCAACAAGTACGATAAATCAATGATCAATTGAGACATTTAGTGACACAGAGCTATAAAGGAAATTTCCAAAAGGATCTGATCAACAAGTACGATAAATCAATGATCAATTGAGACATTTAGTGACACAGAGCTATAAAGGAAATTTCCAAAGGATCTGATCAACAAGTACGATAAATCAATGATCAATTGAGACATTTAGTGACACAGAGCTATAAAGGAAATTTCAAAAGGATCTGATCAACAAGTACGATAAATCAATGATCAATTGAGACATTTAGTGACACAGAGCTATAAAGGAAATATCCAAAAGGATCTGATCAACAAGTACGATAAATCAATGATCAATTGAGACATTTAGTGACACAGAGCTATAAAGGAAATTTCCAAATGGATCTGATCAACAAGTACGATAAATCAATGATCAATTGAGACATTTAGTGACACAGAACTATAAAGGAAATTTCCAAAGGATCTGATCAACAAGTACGATAAATCAATGATCAATTGAGACATTTAGTGACACAGAGCTATAAAGGAAATTTCCAAAAGGATCTGATCAACAAGTACGATAAATCAATGATCAATTGAGACATTTAGTGACACAGAGCTATAAAGGAAATATCCAAAAGGATCAGATCAACAAGTACGATAAATCAATGATCAATTGAGACATTTAGTGACACAGAGCTATAAAGGAAATTTCCAAAAGGATCTGATCAACAAGTACGATAAATCAATGATCCATATTCAAACAATCTTGAACTCGCTTTTAAAGTAGCTTGCACACAAAAATTACAAAGCTAAAAAGGAGATAGAACACATAGGAATGAAATAAAACACGTGCTTTTCAAGCTAACAAAGAATTTAAAGAATTATTAAAAACGTGCATGAAAGATCGGCATCCAAAAATGCGGATTTTTTGTGCTTCATCCTTTTTAATTGACATTTTTCATAAATTAGTCATATTCAAACAAACACCTACGCATAACTGATAACGATTATAACGGCATTTTAAAAAAAAAGTTCAAAATAATCGGCAATTTGAAACGCATCAGCAAAATTTCCTAAAACTTTCTTATCTTGAAGAACATGTGCCATATTTTAATCCTTTGTGTTCTAATCGTATTTTAGTTGCGTCATTTCCGTGCGCAAGCTTTTTCAAAAGTGCTTTTCGGGAACAGAATTTTTACCCAGAAAAGGTTATCATTTTCGAAAATTTTATAGTTAGACTGACCAATAGAAGTTTACCTACCCATTTACACGAAAGGGTTTTGGAAATTTTACGCGTTGATGACTATAGTGACGTTTTCTAAACTGTTCAGTTTTTGTGGGTAGCCGCTGCGCATGCTAGATAGCTCTGTATTGAAAGAGTTGGGACACTTATTGCTCTTTGCATTCTGCGTAACGATTGGGTAAATGTGGTCACATGGGTATTTTAGCCGCCATTTTTGTTGAAAAAGCGGGAAGTTTAACTATTGTTTACATAGGAGATTAATTACAAAGTTCTTTTTAAAATGGTTTCATGTTGCGCGGTTGATTGCAGCATTCGAAGAAACGATGGATATAGAATGTACGCGGTTTCGAGTGGGAAAAAGAACATTTAAAAGAGAAAGAAAGGGCTCTGCGCAATAAGTCTGGAACACTTCAATCCAACATCTACCTCTCGTCTTTGTCTGCATGCCATGAAATGATTTTACTTGTGTTATTAGATTATCAATTAGAATAAAACGTTTTTTAGAAGGATTGATTACTTGTATCATATCTCGTGTACCAACCTTATTTAAGTACAGTATTGTTATAAAAGTGACACTATTGGAATTATAGATTCCCGTTTAATTTTTCTTGTGTACGCTTTAGGAAGAATTAAATGATTTCTGTAGTGTAACTTTTTTGGTGGACACCCTGTATATTCGTTGATAAACCTTCTTTCAAAACTCTATGATTTTGCTAAACGGCTTCGTAAATAAAAGTGATAATTTTATGAAAATGCACTTTGAAGTGAGTCAGTTTGAGCCAATTATTTTCCGTAAATTGAAGCCAAATGCAATTCCCATTCTGTTTTCGCATCGAAAACCAGTACTTCGTAGAAAAAGTCCAAGAAAACAAATTTTTAGAACAACGGGCAAGTACTTGCTGTGTTTCGTAAATGTTTCTTCGGTATGTGTTGACTTAAAAACCTCTCTAATGCTTCAGAATCTCTTTAAACCTTGTGCAAAAATCAACTCCGTTAAACGCTAACACGGTTTGGGCAAGCAATTTTGTTGAAGAGAGCGAGGTCAGTGAATTAATGCAATCTGAAAACTACGATGAAAACTATTCTAAAGTCAAATCTTTTGAAGAACTTGAAATTAGAAGATGGCGGGAAGAAATTGTCAAACTGAAAAATAAGAACAAGAATCTTCGTAACAATTTATCAGCTATCTTCAAGGATGATCAACTTTTCTCACTAGAAAAAAATAGAAATGAAAAACGTACACAGGGTAAACGTGACTTGTTTTAACATTTAAAAATATTGTATTCATGTAATGAGGAGAGAAAGTTTTAATTTACTAAGTTCTATAAAAGGTATAATTTCAGTCTTTTGGTGCAATTCCACCATTGAGCAAGCCACACAACTAAGATATTCCTGTGGAACAACTGGCTATAACATGTTGTTGGACTTTAACTAGCCACTACCCTCGTTCACACATTAAATCGGAGAATGCGACACATTGGTTTCTCAGCTGGTATAATTTCTGAGGCTTGTTTAGCACTTGCCGAGAAGGTATACTTGCATAACTAAAAAGTTATTTTAAGCAGTTATCACTACACCTTTAATTATGTTCTTACATACAGTTACTTTTCTAATATTTCATACCAAGACAAAATCCATGACAGATGAAAAGCGTGACAGTTATCTTCTACTAGATCAAACGTCCTTCAAATCTTCATATGACTTTGATCAAAAACAGGCTCAGTAAAAGGACAATGTACCATTTCTGGGAGCAAATACAAATCAATGGTAGATGTTATGGCAAATCAAGCATTTGTCCTGAGGTTATGTGGCTTGACAACCAGATGGAAGCAGGTGGTAGCTTACTACTTTACAGGAGACTCTTTTAATGCTGTTCAGATCAAGCAAATAATAATTGTTATAATAGAAAAAGCGCATGAAAGCAACCTTAAAGTCATGAATATCACAATGGATATACGAGGTGGTAATCAGGTAATTTTAAGAAACTTCGGTATATCCTGTAAATTTTAAAAAAAATACGAACAATTGGTATTATCTAATTCATGCTCTCATCCTGTGGTTGAAAACATGCAACTAACCTTCATGCCAAATGTTCTACACTTGTTGAAATATATCCGCAATCACTTGAACCGAAAACAAGTTATTTATCTACCAGATTATGTGGTTCGTGACAACAACCTACCAAGTAATTCAGTTACAATACGCTTTGTCAAAGAGTTGGTTGACCATGATTAAATGCACAACATGAAAGTAGCACCACATATTTACAAGCAAAGCTGTAAAATTTTCGAGCACATTTTCGATCACGTCTGAAAGTATACCTCGGTCTTCTAAAGCTTTAGTTTATTCCGAATATGGCGACCCAAGTAAGGTTATCAGATAAAAATATTCCTGTGAACGGTGAAAGTGGTTGACTTGTTCTGTAGTCAGTGCCGACGATTTTACACATGGCAATTCATGCAAGTATTTAGTGCTAGCTCCTACACAGGCATGTCAATTTTATTATCAATATCAATGAAGCACTCCATTAATTTATCTTATTTCTTTATTATTGTTGTAATTTATGTATCATATTACTTTTATACAAACCTTGTATTGTTTATTATTTCACTCATCCTGAAGATGGCATCATGAGATGTGAAAACATGTCTATTTTAAAAAAACTCGTCGTGTATATTAAATGCACATTAGCAATAGTGCTTCTACGAAATTATCAATAAATTATCCAAGTTCTGGAGAGGCTGTCTCTGTCTGTGAACATACTGCAACCCTCATCTGGATCTGCAACTGATTTCTACTTGGATTTTGTAATCTACAAGATTATCCTCTACCAGAATTCAACAGAGAAAATGTTTTTCTAAAAATGTTGGCTTCACCTGTCAATCCAGCTTATCTGAATGTGCTTCAAGGTGGGGAGTGCAATTGATACCATTATATGCATGCCTCCCCCCCTTGAAATTCTTAGTCTGTCACTTTTTATTTAGGATTGTATCCGATCAAACCTTCCCTCCCTGCAGTTGGTGGTAACGAGGGTGTCGGCAAAGTGTTGGCAGTTGCTGATGATGTGAAGTCTGTCCGTGTTGGAGACTGGGTATTAATGTGGAGTGTTTAAAGCACAACGATCTTTAAAATCATTGTTAAAATGTTTCTTCAGAATAGTGACCGGGGATATACCAGGCGGAAAGCAAATTCTAATTGTAAATAATAAAGCCCAAGGATAAGTGGAATTCACAAGGAAACTCCATGTCTGTATATTTTGTGATTGTGTGTGTTTTGGTTTCTTTCGTGATTTCCACTTATCCCATTTCATACCATCTTATCCCACTTTTACTTTCATCTTTTTCATCCCACCATATAATTTAATATTATGTAAATAGCTATTATATATATAAATCCCTTTATACTTGTAATTCAATGTTGTCTGATGACGTCTTGAGAGTCAAGACGAAACGTTACGCTACTAAATAAATATTTCTTTTTATACTTCATTTTTGTATTGAATGGCTCTTTTAAAAGCACTTTGCTCAGCTTTAATATTTATAATAAGTAAAATGTTTCTTGTTATGTTTACAATTGTCACAAATTGAAACTGTATATTTAACGTTTTATCAACCCCAATATCATGATGATAAAATTTATTTTAACCATTGAAGACAGAAAGTGAGAATTAATAATCTTCAATATTTTAATCAAGAAAATATTATTCAAAATAATATAATTCTTCTATTCAAAAAAACTTATTTCAAAATCGTAAAAGTTTTATTAATTTTCATCACAGTTATTGACATTACGTCATGATGATGTTTTTACATACGGGAATTGTTGACAGTATATAACATTTTCTGTCTTTAAGGTCATATCTACATAATAAACGTAAAAAAATGATCTCTCACATTTTTCAACTAATGACCATAAAACCCAAATGGTGTTTTTATACATGTGAATTTTTAACATCATACAAAACCTATTTCCACGATATTAAATTATATTTACAGTTCTTGAAAGCATGTCTAAAGAAAGTCACTCTATAATTTCATCAAAATAATCTTCATCTACAACAACACCATATTATCAAATCACTCACCATGAATGAGTAGTCGACATTCTTTCATTTCTATGTAGTGAACGTTTAATAAATAATATTATGTAATAACCGGAAGAATTTGAGCAATTTCATTGGTCGAGAGCTATGATCTATAACAGGACAGACGCACGGAATTGAGGTCACAGAAAATTCCTTGTTTTTAAATGACAAATGAACGGAGAATTTATTTGAATATTTACCTGAATATATCCCTGAATGGGCAAATAAAAAATTTAAGAATGTCCAGTTGAAGTATTGGACGCATTTGAGCAAAAAGGAAAGAAAAAATCCGGTTTTCAAACATTGATTTGCCCGGCGGCTCGTGGCCACTCAGTTTTTATCACAATGACGTCATACCTGTGTATCTATAACTGTATAGACAACGGTTAAATGTTATCTATTTGTTAAATAAAAATAACCAAATTATCTAACCATACATTTTTATTAAAAAGTAAATCATCAACATGAAATTTGTTCAGAGGTACAATACATAATAAGTTTGACAGAGCATCTTACAGTAGTAGTCTAATCTAGAGGATGCCCTGTTTAAATGACAATTCATTTATGAAGATTACAAGTAGAATCTTAGAAATGAATAAACAAATATTCCTGATCAATTAGTATAGAAACGCTCTTTTTAAATACAAGTCATTTGTGTTATAAAAAGCAATTATACATCGTTTCAGATTATTGCAAAACATAGATAATATTTTACATTCTTTGATAGCAGGAGGTAAGATATTGCAAGAAATAGTACAGATGAATTTAAAACATCTTTTGCAAAATTGGTCCAAATTTAATTTTGGTAAATATAGATAATTTCTTAAAGATTGCCTGGTAGAATAAGTATACCTCTTCGGTACTAAACTATAGTAAGTGGAAACAAGCAATCATCCTTACGACCATCAACATCTAAGTGCAATTTTCTCAACAGGTTTTTGAATTTACTATTAAAGTTTGAGTTGATGTATTTATTCAGGAGCATTAAGTTTTAAAAATTGAATTCTGCTATTTAATCTGCGAACAATAGCTAAAGTTCCTGTATTGGAATGCATAGTTATAATAGACTTAGAATAACGTTCGTTAAATTTAGCGCATACTTTACCACTCTTTAAATCTACAACAACCAATGACCCATAAAACACTTCAATGCAACAAGCTTTGTGTATGATTAGGTTAGAGTCCAATATTAGTCCACCGACATTATGCAAAATCTCATTCACATCACCATTCTCGTGAACATTAATTACATAAATGCCCATAATTTTCATGCTTTTGCAAAATGTTATGACTGCTTGTTTACTATCACTTATACAGCAGTTGAGCTCTAGATCATTTACAATTATCTGTTCTTCAACAAAGTTTTCAATGACAGTTGCTATGGGTAATTCTGCAGTATGCCAATTTTCTATGTAAAGTTCATTGTTGTTATTTCTCCATTTCCATAATGTGTATTCTGTTTTGCTTACAGTTAAAAAAACAGAATTATCAGGTGATACAGCTGCTGCTTTAAATTTTGAACTATCCACAGGAAGTCTTTTGTTGTACTGTATCTTACCCTTGGTAATTGTAACAACTTGAACAAACTTTTCTTCCTTAATACAAAGTAAGACATCAGCAAATGTTAAAATTTTTCGCGGTCTAAATCCAATGTTAACATGCTTTGCTTGAGTAGAATCTACAAAATTTTCAGATGAAGTTGATATCTTCGTAAGATGATCAGACCCATCCCATATCCACAGTAAACCATCTGACCACCAACATCCTAATGCATTCTTCAGTTGCATTGGTACAGTTTGAATAACAGTGCAACGTTCAATGCTCCAAATATGAATTTTGACGTGGTAACCAACAGCGAAAGCAGCAAAAAAAGATCCATCCGGTGAAAAACAACAACATTTAATTATAAATTCCTCAAAGATAAATGAATGTCTCCAAAGATGATCAGTTTTGAAAACTTTAAGCTTGGAAAAATACGGCACAACGTAAAATTCCTTAAACGAGATGGGATGGACTTCGTTAAGAGCCCTATCAACACATGGACACCTACCATTTGGTAAACAAAACACGATTTCTCCTTGATCATTGTATTTTGTCAACTGAGTGGTTTCAGAAAGCTTTCCATTCTGGCTTGTATGATAAAAAATACAATCACGATAATGGTGTGTTATCAATAAATGTGAAGGTTGGGAAAAAATATCGATTGCCTTTGGGAATTGAAAAACACACGAAGTCCAGAAGAACTTTGCAACATAGAACTCTGAATATTTATCGGTGCATTGTAGTTTTTGGTAATCAACAACACGGCGTCGATCAATTCTTTGCAAAGTTAATGAATTCCATGCAGTGAACACATCTTTAGAAAACATTGCATCATATCTTGCTGTAATAAACAAACCAGAATCTAAGAAAGAGCAACGATTAACGACATCATCTGACTGTAAACATGATAACAAACGTCCATTGTTAACGTCCCACAACTTTACTTCAGGAGATCCATCACTAGTTACCAGTCTATTTCCGGTAGGTGAAAAGGAGCAACAACAGATGTTTCCACGTACAAAACCAAATTCGCTTGATGTTGGATAGTCAGAGATGTTATACAGCGACATAAATGTGTCTACATCATCCCACTTATCGAAACTTGAATCACCGAGTGC